GGTCAAAATTCACACAGTGGGCGCTGCTTTTGGCACCCTTCAGGCCAGCATGACTCGATTAGAAGATCGAAGAAGCCAGTTGGAAAAAAATCTTTGAATGAATGGTGCTTTGCAGCCAATCAGCTAAAAGTAGAATTTGTGTATTTCGAAACCGAGGGATTCATCCAACAACACTTGTAAGCATTGATGGAGGAACCAGATCTATGTTCTTTTGGGTTTTTTTTTATTCAGCCCGCGTGTTGAACAAAAATAAATAAATATATAGAACAGTGTATGACCAGCTCAAGCCTCTAATCTGCACATTATCTGCGCTCCCATTGATAGCTTGCAGGACAAAACAAGGAAAACAGCAAATCGTATGATTAGTTGTCTTATCGCCTTACTTTCTATTGATATGGTTGTTTCTCAGTCTATAATTCTATAATTAGCATTTTGTGAGCCGAGTGGTATTGCATACATCTTTATCCTAAACGTACTGAAAAAGACTTCAGACTTGAAGCAGGTACAATTAAGCTTCAGTCTATCAAATTTTGTTTAGGATGTTTGACTACTATCCTGTAACCTGCAGTCAACACAAATCAATGTTCTAATCTGGTGGTTAAATGATACCCACTACTCTGCAGTAGACTCAGCAGTGTATGCACTATGAATAGAGCAATGATTAGAGCTTTGCCATGGCAAAGGGTGATGACTTTGAAGGCCCCCTATGCAGAAAACTAGAATAAGCCCCAATGCGACCCCATTGCCAAACCATTTTACCAGGATGCTGTAATCATCGGCTTCTATATATGGGAATCAGATTGTATTATGGATTCATTATGGAATTGACTATTACAACATCTGTTCATATCTCAAAGTTCATCTCTGTATTAAATTACATTAACCCTAATTCCCAATTCCCTAATTAATAACCCTGGTAGTGAATTAAATCCCAATGAAACTTTCAGTAAACTGGCTAAATTACACTCCAGGTGCATCACAAAAAAAAAGGTGTTCAATGGCTTAAAGTTTGTTTTCTTTCTAAAGCAGCCAAATCCTCCTGAGCAGAAAAACCTGTCCCCTGCCAGCAGCTGCAGAGAAGAACCCTTGCTCTCTGTGGTGAAGCAGAAGTCTGACAGCGCCTGTTGGGCAGGGGCAGAGCTAGACAATCACGGGGGATTATGAACTTTGCTGATTGCAGAGCTGTAAGTCTGACTCAGTAGGGGGCAGGTGGTACCTCTGCAATGAGACCACATAGCTGCTGGCAGGGGACATGCTTTTCTAAAGAAAACAAATTGTAAAACCTTGCACATCATTTTGTTTTGATGCAAATGTTTATATTTATTTTGTTTATTTTGCGGATTTAAACTAAAGGATTAAAAAAAACACAATAGAAAAAAAAAAGAAGAACTGGATGATGTTCTTCAAGTTTTTGGTAGTCACAACTGTGCATACCAAAGGATGACATGGAACGTTTTCCATCCAGGGAGTGACCCTATTGCATCTATGATTTTGTTTCCCTCTGGGCTAAATCTGCTAGCTGCCCACTGGATTTTGTTTTGCCTTCCTCTAGACAGGGAATGCTAATTGTTAAATACTAAAATGAATGGATAACTGTATAACCTACCTATGCAAGTGTATCTGTAAAAAAAATGAGAACATATACAAGTGTGCTCTATTACTGTATTATGACAACGTCAAAAGGGTACTTCTTGGGTTGTGCATGTGAAATGCATTTTTTTCTTTAAACAAAATTGATTACATAGTAATACAATGGATCTCTGCCAACATGCTGTCACATGGGCATTTCTGGTGGTCTTGTATAAAAGATGCAGCAAGCGGTGTGTTGGTACAATGGCTCTCATGCTACGTAGAGGCACTGTACAATATTTCGATATAGAAATGTCCCCGGCCATGTCACATGGACCATATAATAGGCCACATCGACACATTGGGCTACTGCCAGGAAATCCTAAGTTGTCAGGCAAGGTGGTGTAACCAAAAGCCCAGGATGAGAATCTGGTTTTAATATTTGCGGTTACTATATTTCTTCCACAATGGACTCCGGCAGCCCTACAAATAGGGTTGCCATCAAAAACAAAAGATACCAAACAAAAGAGAACAGAAACCAAGACAGTAATAGAATATTCCCTTCAGTCATTAATACGTGTGTCGGCACACAACATGAATAATCCCTTCCCTTTTGTCCACACTGCACAGGAATACACAGATATGTCCTAGGCACAACAGTAACAAAGCATGAAAATGGCTTATGCAGTCGTCTGTCTGTCTGTCCACTCTGGAAATTCCATTTCCTTTCTTTCCACCCAGCAAACCATTTCCCCCATTTTTATCCAGGTTGTCTCCTGAAAAAGGAAGAAAATCCCCTCCTTGACAACCATTTAAATGATGCATTGGGCAGAATGGCTCTGTACCTCTTAACGAAGACAATTAAAAAACAGTAAGAAAAAAGGTGAGATCTCTGAATATCATCATGGAAACGGTTGTCAAGGAACACCTGTTTCTTGAGACAAATTGCTGCACCGAAGACTGCGGCTGGGTAAAGAAAAAACTTTGAAAGGATATGTTCACCATTTTACCCTGACCTATTGTTTTCTTTCACTTATGTGGGATGGATGCTCGGATTATTTATTATGCACAGAATACATTGGAATGGGAACTATTCTTCAGAGTGTATATATCTATATATAGATATATCTATATAGCACTAAAAGTGGAGTTCCAGGCAAACAAATATACTTAAGACATTTTTACCTGTTAAAATATGTCATTGTGTCCAGCCTCTCTTGTAATGGACAAACCTCTGGTACACTACATCAGCCAGGACAGTAAAGCCAATAAGTTGCAGACTGATGCAGCCCTCCTCATCATCCAACATGATCACACCAAGACCCCTCTCCCCTTTGAACCTCTCCTCTGACCTAAACACATCCGCCCATTGCACCTAAAATATGCAAGACTGGCTGTGCCATACAATGCAGCAGAACCTGATAACCCCACTTACCTATAGCCTAATGTCTCCTGGAGCAGGAGATTATGAGAGAGTATCATAAAGACAGGTTTCAGAAAGGTATACAATCAATATTTTAAAATATATATATTTTTTCTGATTTTTTTTTTAGTTGATTGTTGTTAGAAGTTAGTATTCGCTTGCTGTTGGACACAAGTGGTAACGTGGATAGATCTGGACAGTGCAACAAGGGATGCAAAATGAATCTTCCATCTCATTAGAGCTTAGCCTAAATATATTACAACCCTCTGGCATTTTGTATTGTCATAAAACATGGAATAAAACTGGAACTCCACTTTAATGGTTTGGCAGTGCCATTCACAAATTACTACACGAGAAACATTAATTGTATCTAAACTGCAGTCAACACTCTTTACGACAGCATGAAGGAGTTCAAACTTCTGTCAAACTTTTATTGCCAACAATGTGCACATTCGTGAGATTCTCTTCCGCTAGTGAATAGGATGCGTTTATTGCTCTGTGTCCCCATTTGACAGATTGCCCTCACTTCCTGGCCCAGAGACAGCAATAAAGACCTGGCAGAGGTTCTAAGCCTTCCCCACTACATAAAAAAGTAAATAGGTTTTGGTTTTACACAAGTTAAATCAATAACTGGACACTCCATCCTCTGACAATTAGCACTGTCTCAATAGCTAGCATTCCTAAAATACACCATGTGGCCAAATCTATGTGGACACCACTCTAAATCATTGATTTCAGGTGTGTTCAGAGAGGAGTCATTTAAAAGAACTGTGTGCTTCCACCCTTGTGGCAACAGTTTGAGGAAGGTTATTTTCTGTGCCATCATGTCTAGGCCCTTGGGCACAATGTCACCTCCATAAACACATGGGTTGAAGAGTCTGGTGTGGAGGAACCGACCTTAACCATATTGAACATTTTTGGAATGAACTAGAATGCAAACTGCAACCAAGTTCTTCTTATCCAACACTCCAAACTCTTGGGGAAATCCGTTCCAGAAGTGTGAAGGCCCATAAAACCCGCAAAGAGGGGGACCAGCTCCATATTAATGTCCACGGTTATGGAATGAGATGTCCAAACAAAGCATATAGGTGTGATGTTCTGGAGTCCACAAAAGTTTGGCCACACAATGCATTTTCCCAAACCAAAAAAAAGAAAACGTGCAGAGACCGGATCTACAAAACTATATATTTTTTTAAGCTGAAAGAAAACTACAATGGTGGACCGATATTCTAACAAAAACATTTTAACGGATTACAATTTCCCTTCAATACCGCCCTGGTAGAAAAAGTTTAGAGCCTCCCAGGCCAGCAAGTAACTGATTTAGATGGCGAAAATGTAAGTTGTATTCCTTCAGCTGTTCCTCTGAAGACAAAAGAACATCAGGCGACTTGTGCTAAGAATTTGGACTTTGCAATGCCCTAAAAGAGAAGCGCTCAACACAGCTAGGAAATCAAGCTGACACAAAAGCCACGGGCCCTGCATCCGATTGGAAAGGAAAATAATAATGGACGCATATGGCGCTAGTCAAGCCCTAAATTAGAAAAAAACAATAACTTTCCAACCTCGTCCCCTGCTTGTCACATGTACGCAGCCAAACAACAACTGAATGACACTGCGCGATGAGACAGGGCAGTTGAGGGGCATCATCAGATGTGGTTTCTAGCAGTATGAGCACTTAACAGTCCATAGAAATGTTACTACATTGAAAAAAGTGCAATAAAAAAAGGGGAAAAAAAAAACCCAAAAAAACACTATTGATAAAAAAAAAATTCACATACGAATTGGTGCATTTTAAACACACAGAAATCAAAAATGAAATTGAACAGGTAAATAGACACTGATCCATAATGGGGATGAGACAAGTAAACCAGGTGCATTGTGGTAAACATAAAACGGCCGTTTTAATCTTCGCCAAGTTGGACACCATTCTGTGATGTTATGATGGAAAAAGAGAGAGAACAGGACAGGATCACAGACACCTATTCTATAAAGTTTCCCCAGATTTTTTTTTGTGATCACAACGCCTCCCTTAGGCGTTTTGGCCAATGCGCAATGCATTTCATTGTCTTGTATTGTTGGGCGATGCCTTGGATCTGCACCCAAATTGCTCAGGGATCGGTGACTTGGCGCTGGTTGCTACGACAGAAAGTAGCCAACCCGCCGAACTTTCTTCTTTACGTACATTTTCGCGGCCTTGTTAAATCAGGTCATCGGTTTCAGGCCTCACTTTCATATGTTAAACAGATTCAGAAACACCTCTTGCCCACTTGCTGAAAACACGTTAGCAGGTCATCGGCATTGAGCCGTAATATCACGCCAGTTTAAAACTGCCCCAGTCTGGGCTTAAAACGCAAAAACAAATAAAATAAAATATATATATAAAAAAAAAAAAAAATAAGTCAGCGATTTTGTTGCCTGTGGTGTTTTCACATTCACACAGATAACATGGTGCTCTTTTGTCAGAGCTTACAATTTCCTACGTCTGAGTCCTCAGGTCCCACTGAGCTTTTTTTAAAATAGGCAATGATAAAAATAGCGAAGAATGCAGTACCACATGTACCCTGACAAAAAGGCAAACGACTGTACAAGGAAGAGCCAGACATTGCTTAGGGTCATTTCCCTCGACACTGCTTTCTTCTGTCCCTGTGGGGGAGGAAAAGCACCTGGAAGAAAGGAGAAACAAAAAACTGAAGGACAATGTAGCTAGACACCGGCAAACCTTATTTAGCCTAAAACGCCTGACAAGACAGAAAAAAATAACCTACGTTTAAAAAAGGGCAAGTATAGTGTATTTTTAATAGGAATGCACCGATGCCGATACCGAGTATTTGGGCAAGTAACTTCCGGTCAGAGGGAGATTTCCTCTGACCGGCAGTGCCGCGAGGAAAGATGGAGCCGAGAAGCTGGCTCCATGCGGTTTGGCCAGCTCGATGCCGAATGGCCAGGATGCCGGCTTCCCAGTCAATCAGTGTCGAGCCGGGCAAACAAATCTGATTATAGCATCCTCCACCTTGCAGGCACCTAATTCCCCTCACATAGATCCTTATCATTCTTTAACGTACCAGTCCCTCAGCCAGAGCTGCCATCTCCTGTGTGCACAGCGCTCGTGATCGGCGCTCATCCTGCTACTGCGCATGCACAGGATTTCTGAATGAGAGCGCTGGGCAGTCTGCGCAGTAGCAGGCTGAGGGCCGATCACGTGGGCGCTGAACACACAAGAGACATGGGCAGATTCGGAAGAGCGGTGTCTGCCCAGCTGGCCGAGGGACTGGTACGTTAAAGAATGCTAAGGATCTATGTGAGTGGAATTAGGTGCCTGCAGGGTGGGGGTCATGTCACAATATAGTCAGATCTGTTTGGCCGGCCTCGATGCTGATTGGCTGGGAAGCCGGCTTCCCGGCCAATCGGGTACACGTACTCGATACTGAAAAAACGGTATCGGTGCATCCCTAATTTTTAGTGAGCATATAGTTTGAATTATTACTGAATTGTTTTAACTGAAGTACCTTTGTCCATCCAGCCTTGCCAAGAAGCACAGCGAACTTGGTGGTTACATCATTTCTCTACTGTAGTTAAAACACAGCTAGGTCATCTCCCTGCCCCTCACATGGTGACTGGACAATGAAGGAGCAGCAGCAGACTAATGAGGTAATCTCCTATCAGTGTGTTCCTTGTCAGCATATGCCACTATGAATACTAATTAATAGGGGGAGAGAGGGCTCAGTTGTAATATACACAGATTGCTTATAAAACACAGAGGCGGACATTTCTATGAGGAGATTAAGAGGACAGCTAACAAAAATGAACGTTTCTTTGTTCATATACAGCAACTGCATGTGCCTGCTTCGTGTGTACTCGGGATACATTGCCGGCATATAAAAGTGGAAGTGGGCTTTAAAGTGTATCTTATGCCAAAACGTTTTGGCTATGTTTTTACTGTAACCTGTGCCATTAGGAAATGATGGAAAATCTCCCCGTCTCAGAGCACAACAGCAATTAATAGAATATCTATCCAAAGTGAGGGAAATATTTTATTTTGATATGCTTTTTCTTCTATATTTTCACAACTGTATTAATACTACTTGCTCTGAAGATTAGAAACTAGACAGAGATCTGACTATCTAAAATCACAAGTAGAGAGACAATGTGCTGTTTCCAGTCAGATAGACCTGCCCTGATAGACTGGTAGAGCCCTGTGTGGAAAAATTTGCTTGACATGACAAAACACTCATTATCACCCTCTATCACCCTCTATCACATGATAAGCCTGATAACTTGGGATCTCCCTGCAATCAGGGCGCCACTACCATGCTTGTGCGTCACTCTGTTGTCACGTGGCGAGCGGCTCAAGGATAGGCAGACATCTGGCTGCCCACAGCTCCTAGGGAAATGTCTGCTCATCTATGGCCAGCCTAAGGCACAATTATGAACAGGTACAATAACACGCTTTAAATGATAAAATCCCCATTTCAGGACAGCGTAACTTGCACCTTTTAGGTTCTATACTTCTAGTAATGTTGCTGCTGTCTGTCCCTAGCACAGAGATGGTGGCCCTGGGAATGGGCTCTGTGTCACACTGACTTTTAGTAAACAATTAGCATCCTAACACAGAACACGCTTCCCAATCTCCCACTTATACACAATGAGAAGGGGCAGTGAGGGATGCAGAACTGCTACTTTCATTATTTATCACCAAGCTCTGCCTAATGTACACAGATGTAGTAATATTTTGATTGCAATTTCGTACTTTTCTTAATCTTGATATAAGTCTTCGGAAGGGGAACTCTATGGGAATCAATGCAGCTCATGTAAAACCGTACATGAATATGATCCTGGCACAGGAAAGTAAAATTTACAATGACTCAAAACAAGTGCTTGATCAAAATACACATTTATAGAATATACAGACTATAGAACTAGACATCATTTAAATTCCTTTTCAAGGAATCCTCCATGACTGCACTGATGTTACTGGTGTTGTCATGGAGCATGCACTGGAACGTTAATTACAAGTATCTCAAGTTTCTCCAAGACATTTGCACATAACATGAGATGGATTTCATTTCAGGTTCATCAATCCGTTAATTAAAAACAAACACACATCACTATACCTGTTTCATAAAAATGTGACAATAGCGTCTCTTTTTCAACAAATCGCTGATATAACCAATCTGTTAATGCTTCTGTTTCCATGGGAACCTCTTTAATGGGATAGATTCTATTTGAGGGGGGGGGGGAAAAATGACAGATCAGGGAAAATGAGCTGTGCATTTACCATTTCAAATCAACATTTTAGTAATCTCTGTATATCTTTAGAAGGCTTCTAAACATATCACCGTTTTATAAAAGGATATACTTAAAGGAAAGCTTCACTGAAAAAAAATGTCAGCTGCCACTGCTGATCTTCTAAAAACTTGTATTGAGATTGTAGTCATCATGAGGAGCGAGCTTTGGAACGGTGACTACTTCAGAATACACACAGGGACCCTGGTGGAACAAATTAGCCACCCTCCAGAAGGAAGGACAGTGTCAGCACCAATTCAGAGATGATAACAGGATCTACAGCCGAGTGATACACAAATAAGATACATTTTTGTTAATAATTAAGGTACTTGAATGTATTACTATGATTTAACTACTGCGTTTATTGTCACTTAACGGTCCTTCCTAAGCAGCACATACCTTCCACTCTGTTGCTGCTTATTTCGGCTGCTGAGGATGAAGACAGGAAGCCCTATGTAAGTCGTGATTAAGAACTTATACAGAGCTAAGGACTCTCTCCCTGCCCTCATGTGACAGGGCTGGGTCCTAAGTGGCCAGTCACTGAGCAGGCGCATGGAAGGAAGGGGAGTGTTTCACATGCTCCCCATATCTGAAAGTATTGGGTATTTCTCTTTGCTCCCAGCAATGGGATACAATGGTTGGAGGAGTGAAGGAAAAAAAAATGTGTTTTTTTGGGAAGTGGGGCAATTAAGTCAATCTGTTGCTCTGCTCTGCATTGGAAAAACACAGGCCATTTTAAAGTCAAAATGCAAAAGTTGCCAAGGATAAATTCTGCAGAAGTTAAAGTGTACATAGAACTTTAGGGAGCCTATAATAAATCTCTAGATCTAAGTTTTTACTGACAGTATCCCCGCTGTTTATATAATCTTTGATCATGAGCTCACTTTAATTTGTACAGGTTTTTGACAAGTTAACTTTAAGATATAACTAGTATAACACATACATTGCTGTATATTTACTAGGGATGTTCAGATACCAGTGACAATACTTGCCATTTTTATGAGAACTACCAGGGTTGCAGCTGGGCCCGGGATCTGGCGCACAACCACTGTCCTGAAATCATTAGTCTGTATTTTTTTTTAGAAAAACTGTCACATGACACTAAACAAAAATGTATCAGTACTTGTATCTGTGAGTACTTGGTCTGGTATTGGTGCATCCCTAATTATATATGTATATATATCCCACCTCAACCTTACCACTGAACAATTATAAAAACAAAAACCACAAAACAGAGATGCATAAATCCCAGGAGCTCCATATGCTCCTTACAAATGACAGCTGCCTCCCAACTTTTGACTTTTTCTCTAGTCTGGTGTTGGAGCTGGAAAAGTATCTGTACTTGTTCAGAGTACTGTACTTGGTATCTGAATATCCCTAATATTTACCTTCCAGACAGGCACGTGCCAAATGTTTATGAATGGGTAAAGGTAGCATAACTGGAGCAAGGAAATACAGCTGGTTTAAGACTAGTCATACAGCATCAGTTACTTCTTTATCTCTGGGGTGAAGCCAGAATTTACACATTATTGAAGTGAGCCGTCATATAAAGCAGGCATGTCAAACTCAAGAAAAATATACAGCCCAATGAAGCGGAGTAAATTTTCAATGGTTTACGTTATGTCTAATAATAACCACTATTCTTAGGTTGCAATAAAAGTGAGGGGATGGCATGTAGCCCAATAAACACTATTTTGACTCGCTTGGACTAAAGCAGGGATGTCCAAACTGCGGCCCTCCAGCTGTGGTGGAACTACGAATCCCATGAGGCTTTGCAAGATTCTCACAGACATGACTCCCGGAGAGAGATGCTTCATGGGATTTGTAATTTCACCACAGCTGGAGGGCCGGAGTTTGGACATCCCCGGTCTAAAGTAACCCAAGTAATTTGTCCAACATCAATACATTGTAAAGAAAAAAACACTGATACCTGTAGTACACATGAGTGACAGTAGGTGGCCGGTAACCAAGAATCCAAGTCTGGATGTCCATCGGATGTGCACTGTGGTATCCAATTGTCGCGTCGATCACCCACTGTAAACCTTTTGGCTTTCGATCTACAAATACAAAAACGGAGATGTGGAATGAGGTTAATTATTTGGAATTGGTTTGTTTATGTCGTATACATGTGTTCTTACCTTTCCTAACAATTAACATGTATAGGACAAACACCATTACAAATGCTTATTAATATGGTGGCCACTCATGATCAGCCTTGATGTACTGAAAAATGACCGCACACCCTCATACTTTTGGAGCTATGGCTTGAAAGGGTCAGTTTGGACCGGAAATGGCACTTGGAAAAAAACCCCCAAAGTAGTTCATTAAACCATTCAGATGATTTTTACTTAATAAAAGTCCCTTGAGCCAATTTCTCTGGTGCCTTGGAATGTCATATAAACATACTGAACCAGTTGTGCTAATAAGTAAAGTTCTAACACTCAAAGCAAGCACAAAGGACCAGCCACCAGTAAACAACCAGCACCAGGTCTTTTGCTTTGAATGATGCCTATTACAACCAATCAAATCCATGATGTGGAAATCACCTGAAGGACTAGCGCCTCAAAAGGAGCGCCTATGCAGAATGGGCTAAGAGCCAACAGGAAGCCTTCAGACGCTGTACTAGATTGCTTCTACCGGCAGGTAAACGGGCACCCCTAACCCCCCGCCCGACACCCGCGCTGTTTCCCTGGCTCCGCTGCCCCTCCTACAGGCCCAGGACCAGCTTCTCTGGTGTCGGGGGGAAGCTTGGGATATGATGGGCGACTGAATTTTGTCGTAGGTTCATGGATGCACACAATTTTTAACCTGGGCATGTTGGGTATCTATTTACTCCTTGCAACCTCATCTCTTATACTGTATTTTTTTTTTAAATGGGAATTTTTTTGTGTTTTGGGGCATTTAAGTGCATTTATCATTCACTTTTGGGGTTTGAGGAGTTGCGCTAATATTGTGCAATATAAAAATTTGCAACTGCCACCATTTTAATTCTATAGGGTTTTGGCTTTCAGAAAATATATCATGTTTGGGGGTTTTAAGTAATTTTCAAGCCTAAAATGTGGATTATAACATGTATACAATAAATTAAAAAAAGGCCTCGGTCACCAAGGTCACCTTTGTAATGTTGAGGAGGGGCTGTGAGAAGTCATGTTCACTCTATTAAGTCTGTGTATACTGTGCTGCCGGTCAAGTTTTTTGCATGCTGGCTGGCGAGTGTGCTGGGAAACTTTTTGCTGTTACCCCTCCAATGGTGACCTCCCGCACCCCCTTGTGACGCCACTGCCTAAATTAGATGAATGATCTTCAGCAAGCTCTACATACAAACGTATACTAATATACAGTATTATGCCAGGGCTGCACAAATTAAAAGGAAACCTTTGCCAAGAAAACAAGAAGGCTGCCATTGTAGATGCTAGTTCCTTGGCTGTCAAACTGATCCTCTTGTTTCAGTACTTTGAATCACTGACAAAGAACAAGTGTGCAAGAAAGGACTTCTGGCTTGACAGGGTTTATTTATTACAGGTATTTATATAGTGCAGACAATTTACGGAGCGCTTTACATAATTGCACATTCACATCAGTCCCTACCCTCAAGGAGCTTACAATCTAAGGTCCCCATTTCACATGCATACATACAAGGGCTTATTTAGAGAGGAGCCAATTAACCTTCCAGCATGTCTTTGGAGTGTGGGAAGAAACCAGAGTACCCGGAGAAAACCCAAAACACGCACAGAGAGAACATAGAAACTCCTTTGCAGATAGTGACTGGGCCTGGATTCAAACTAGGTTTGAGGCTTTCCCGATTATTGTAGGAAGCGTCAGCAAACCGTATGGAAACTAGCATTTTCAAAACTAGGTAGCAGAGAGTATTACTATGACAGGTTCAATATTCCAAGGTTGCACAGGTCCCTACTCTATTTTCACTTGTTTCTAGAGCAACGCTTGCCAAACTCTGCCTACCTGCTTTCCACTAGGGATGCACAGATACCGATACTAGTATCGGTGCCAATACCGAGTATTTGGGGGATATTCCCCCAAATGCTCCGATACCTTCCCCAATAACGGAACTTCCGGACAGAGGGAGATGACCTCTGACCGGCAGGACAGAGAAGGAACATTCCAGCCAAACAGCATGGAGACGGCTTCCCGGCCAAGCAGGAAGCCAGGCCGCGGGTAGTCAGGCCAAAACCGAAACACTTTTTTTTTTACAATCTTTAAAAAAAATTTTTTTTTAATAATTAGTTTTCTTTTTACTTTGTCAGGGGGGAGAGAAGCCAGGGAAACCATGAATTTGTGGCCGCATATTCAGTAGTTGTGGTGCTTTTGGCATTTTGCCAAAAGTTACATTTTCAGCCGAATTTTGGGTGCATCCCTAAGTAAAACCTAGCAAGCATTCAGCTCACCCACAATGCCAGCATCCGTTAGGCATTATTTTCTCCAAATGTCTACTGGAACACGTACTGTCCTATACAGTGTCACCAATCTGCCACTCTTGGCAAATCTTAGAATAAGCATATTCTCATACTTGTGGCCACTGTTCCACCTACAGGGCCACCAGATCTTCAAGTCCCACACTCATTTCAACGCATCTAAAACTCCAATGCCCAAAATGCGGCCCAAGGGCCCCATGCAAGATCTTGGTACTTGCCATTTGGCCCTTTGCAGATCCCAGTAGAGGGACAATAGATTTGTAGATGGGCTGCAATGGCAGTGACCTTTTGGGTGGAAAAGGACAAACATGAACACTCTGCTAGGACTTTACCACTACCCATATCCTTGGCTGTAAGATCTCCTGCTCACTACTGGAATAGCTGTCATAGGTCAAATTCGGGTTTTCATCTGAGCTACAGCTGTCACATGCAAATTCTCCATATATAATTAATCAAAACATGCTTGGCAAAGAAATCGTACATTACATGCTCCGCAATGATATCTCCATTGGAACATATGGAAAACTAACAGGCCATGGCATACATGGCTTAACCGTAAAGTTGGTTCCAACCTGTGAGTTTCATAGCACGGGTAGAAGGAGATCCCCTTGCTAGTACTGGACAGCTGTAAGTAATTGATGGAGAAAGAAAAACTCAACCCCACTACACGAAAAAAAAAGAGAAAAGTTGATCAATGGAGTTGTTATATAAAATTATAAAACTAAGTGGACATTTTTAAGTAAAGCTAATAATTGTGTGAGCACTTGGGAATGGCTGGGATTTCCCCCCCCCCCCTAGGGTGTAAAAGCAGAAATGTATAACATTCAGTTTGTGGCCGGACTGAGAAATGCTCATGCTTGATTGGTTCCCAGTAATTTTCCTCTACATGAGAACTGGGTATTTTCCAAGCTGGGACATAGAGCGAGTGCAGGAGGGGAGGGGGGCTGTTTTCTCTAGAAACTCCTCACAGTTCTTATTCAGCTATTTAACTATCGAACAAGTAACCTAAATCTCAAACATTTCTCCCAGATCATTAATATTTAATAGACCAGGACTGCTGGATGCACTTTTTGCTCTAGCTCTGCATTCCTCAGTAAATAAACAGAAACCCAAACATTTATATTGAAGGCGCATTTAATCCTTAGCAGAACAGGCCAGCGTCTGTACATCTGATCTCCGGCACCATTACAACTCGCCATGTATCAATTGGTCCCTTTTAGTATATTCAAAGATATTGGCAGCTGTAGCCAAGTGGTGCTTTACTCAATGCCAGTTTGGGCCCTGTAAAGACATACTGAACTGGAAATATGTCAGTATCGGGACTCACAGATCAAGGATGTGGACCCTAGCTACACTTGCTGGGGCACCTAGATCAAAGGGTGCAAGCAGTGTAAACTGACAACCCCCAGAGCAGGAGTTCTAGGAGAAACAGGAGCTGTGGCGCGAGATGAGGCAAGTGAAAGTCAGGCTCAGGTGGAAGTTAAAAGACTAGACAGAGTGCCGCAATGGTGAGTAGGTAGCGTGGAATCCCCCCCAAGGCGCAGAGTCTAAGGACCAGCCAGTTTCCCCAGAGCTCCTGATGGTGGAGATGGATTTGGCTGCATGCTGACCCAGGTCAATCGGTCATGTGACCCCATTTTCATTATTCCCATTGCATAGTGACATTATGGCTCTTTATTTTGACTGCAGCAGTATATGTAACACTCACTCAGCAAAATCTAGTTATTCTCTAGCATTCTTACACAAAGGGCAGGAGTTCAAATGTAAAGTCTAGAAGTTGAAGGATAACATTTGGTACAGTTCTCTATCAAATGCCCCCTTCAACCCCCAGCCCGCTTCCCACCCCCCCCCCCCCCCCC